ACTGAACCAGTCCTTTGTAGGGAAATGATTTTGGATATCTCGTTGGAGGTTTGTGAGAAATGAAAATGTCAATATCAGAGCTAATGTCATCTCGAGAAATTAATCGATCGAGACTTTCAAATTTGTAAGACTCTAATCCAAGGCACATGTCTTCTCTTCCAGTAATAATTCTCAAATTGGGTGCTCTATATTCCATGTCTAAATTGGTCACAAATTCTTCAGTTTCCATGAACCAACCAGAGCAAGAGCCAGCGCCAAAATCCCATACCAATGACATGCTTGTCATATTGTTCATGTGTTTCTTATATTCTGTGTCAAGAATTTCATTTAGAGTCTGTGTATGTTTTTTAAGGAATTTTTTCACATTTCCAATTGAATAAGTGTTGAAAGGAATAAATCGATTGGTTGTTGGTGGAGCTTGTTCATAGGCATTGATGGACTTAGAATGTTCTTCTTCATTCCGAGAGGAGGCACGTGACAGCACAAAACTCCAAGGATTTGAATTGTCCTCTTCTGAGACTGATTCTACGTTTGGCAACACGTAGGGAACCACAACAGAAAAATCATCAACTTGTGGTTGATGATCAAACACAATGTTTTTCTTTTGATTGTAGAGCTGTAGACACAATTGTATCTCATTCAATTCTCGACTCATGTAATCGATATCGAATTTCACATTTTTGAATTTTGAGGTCTTGAAGAAGGCTCCAGCAAATGCCACACAAATGTTATTGTCTAAATGTATTTTAGACGAGCTTGGAAGCGAAAAGTAGTTTCTACCTCTTCTGTAATGATAAGGTACTGGAATATTCTTGTCTCTTTTTGAAAGTCTGTATGTCATACTATAAATATTAAAAGATGAGTCGAGGTCGTTGGCACTTGTGTAATTATAACTTGGTTTTTGTGAAATGACATTAATTGGATAAATGAGCATGGAACCCAAAATAGCAGATTGAGTATTGCATTTCAATTGACTCAACTTCAATTTAAATATTTCTTGAGAGGATGTTCCAAATAAATGTACTTCATAAGGAAGAAGGAATAAATACTCTCCTGTCGAATGTTCTAATCCTATTTTCAATAATTCCATTTCATTCTTGATCTCATCGACTAGAATTACTTTCTTTTGGAGTTTTTTCAAAAACTTGGGAGTTGTTTGATCCTTTTCTTTAAATAACAGCCATTCCAAGATGACATTTTCTCCAATGTTTTGACTCGTAATAAATTTAAAATCACTCTCTCTCAATGATGGTGTTACAAGAATGGTGAGTTTTGAATCTGTGACTTCATATCCTCCTCCATCTTCACATGAAAATCGTTGATCAGAAGAAGCTCTTAATTTAAGAGCTTGTTGTTGATGAGATTTAGATTCCTTCGTATGAAGAGAGTTCTTGGCCAATTTGTTTTCCGAATTGCTCGAGTGGCTCATGATATTAAATTTCGATTGCAAGACCAAAAACAAAAATATGAACAAGGAAAAGAGAATGGCCACTGACACAGTCACACGAGACTTGTTCATTCCTCCTCGAATATTTCCAGCAGCACGTGATGTTTTGCTACTACTCATACAGCAACAACACAATCTTCGGATCAGAGTGATGAGAGGAGATTTTTGATGGTGGGTACTCCGTATTAGCATTGGTTTGTTGGGTGTGTAATTGCTGTTCAATGATGATGATGATACTTGGCTGGTTATCGGTTCAAAGTCATTCGTAAAGTCATGAGAGGATGAAGTGGGGCCATTGCGTGCGAATGATGTGGTCATGGCAACTCCTGTCGATGATGCTCCTGTCACCATAGCATTTCTGTTGTGCATTTTTTGTTGAAACAACATGTTGAGGTCTTTTCTCTCATGAACAACTCCGTGAGCTTGAGAATGCTCGACAGGGAGATTTCGTAATATTCTGAGACGCACTCCAAAAAAATTGGCGCCTTTTCTTGCCTTATCTCGTGTGGCTTATTGAAACTTGTTGGGATTCTATCCTCTTCATAGTGTTGCCAAGAAACCAATTCATCAAATCAACAGTGAAGCGTGAGGAGGAATGAGCAGCGATATTTCAAAAGATACAGACCATTTCATTCACGATTCGGGCGCTGATGAACATTCCTTGGTTGCAAGCCAAGAAGCGGCCACTTCCGAAATAAGGAAGATGAGCATTGAAGAATGTAATCCAGACACAAGCAATCATCTGCAACATGAAAGGACAGAGAACCATTTAGATGATTGCCTCACTTCAAACTTTGCTCTCAATCATGAACCACATGAAGAAACTATTTATTCCGCTCCATCACAATTCTTTCTAGTTCTGAAAGAAGATGCCTATAATTGCTCCTCAGACTCTGCCAATTCGTCAACCACAGCTTCTCCAATGCCTTTTTATGTGAATCCGTCACTGTTTTCTAACCCTCTTCCTTTTCAGCAAGAACACATTATTTCCAGTCAAAGCCATCCTTCTGTAATTAATCAGTCCTTTGAGGATGAAGAAGTCATAATCCCTCCTTTGAAAATACCTGTTAATGCCTCATCTCTCCAGTTAGATGTACAACACTCAGTTCATTCAATTTCGCAGACCGAAAGAGAAGAATTGGATGCTTATTCGGATGAATATGATGACGCAGAAGTAGCTCAGTATTTGGACATGGTAGAGGTTTTGACAGAATACACGGATTGTGACGAAACTCTTTCCAACCTGAACTCAAGCTCGTCTTCAATTTCATCCATTCGATCTGCTTCTTCGGCACCAAAACATCCTTCGTCACCACCCTCTCTTAACTCCAGTACTGCCGACAGCAAACACGCAGAACATGCACTCAAAAAACTGTATCCAAGACGGTCATCTGAATCATATATTGCCAAGAAAAAACCATCCTCGAGCAATTCCACTCGTCCTCCCTTCCTTCCATCATCTACATTCACCAAACCAGAACACTATGTCTCTCAATATGCAGTCATTGAGAAACCTGTTATTAAGAAAACCAAACCTAGTGTTAATACTACTATATCAACTAAGCAAAATGTGATTGTAAAAGAGAAAAAGCAGACCAAAATAGGAGATACAGGAAGCGGTGAAGAAAATGACAATATTAGGAAGGTGAATAAGAAAACTGTCACTAATAGCTCAAAAACTGGTTCCACAAATTCCCTTTCTAGCAATCCCGTTACCAACACCCCGTCTATTCCCAATGCTACACATACATTTCTAAAGCGTAAAAGTATATCGTTTGTGATCCCTTCAAGCTCTCCCTCCACTGCAGGAACGTCAAAACCTCCAACAAAGCCACCAACAGAAAGACTGACTTCTTCTAGAAAAAGCAAAGTCTCAGACCCATCCAAGCCATCTTCGAAACAAATGGGATTAGAAGAACCTAAAACTTCTCGAACAGCCACACAAACACCCGTCATCAATCCTCCAATCAGCTCTTTCATAGCCGAGTATCAAGGAAGAAAAAAGAAAGTTGAATTTGTTGCTGGAACATCGTCCATTACGACACTTCATGCCATCTCCAGGAAAATTAAGGATAAGTTCGGAATTAATCGAAAAGAAAAAATTCTTCTCATGTATTTTGACCGAGAGTACAAACAATGGTTAGATGTGGACACGATTAAAGATTTGAAAGGAGCTAAAGTGAGAGTACAAATAGTGACCAAACCTGATTCACCAACAAGAAAGCCACCAAACACCTCGGAATCGCCTGCTGACACGCCTTTGTCTCCGTTTGGCGAATCTTTCGAATTGTCTAAAGGCTGGATTGTCATGAAGTCATTGGGACTGGGTTCTTTTGGAAAAGTGATTCTTGTGTACGATTCGATACATAACGAAATGATTGCCGTAAAGAAAATACTTTACTCGCCAGAAACAAACATAAAACAAAAAATAGAGAGAGAAACGTCCATTATGAAGACTTTAAGGCATGAGAATATTGTTCAATTTAAGGGCGTAGAGTTCTCTTCAGAGTGGGTATACATCATGATGGAGTTTTTGAGTGGTGGCTCGGTAAAACAAATTTTGAAAAGAATGGGAAGAGGCTTGACAGAAGGAGTCATACAATTGTACTTGAAACAAATTCTCAGCGCTTTAAAGTATCTCCATGAAGAGCGAGATGAACCTATCTTTCACAGAGACTTAAAATGTGACAACATATTGCTAAAGGTAAGTGGACATTCCTTAATCCAAGTTGTATATTGTGCGTTAAAGAATGCAGAGTTGATTAAGCTGTGCGACTTTGGTGAATCCAAGCTAATTTGTAAAAAGAGCCATTTAGACAAGTCAAAACAATCTGGATCATTAACACTCTCAAAAACCAAAGGAGCTCTTACAGGTACAATTCCGTTTTTATGTATTGAGCAACTCAAAGGCGAAATTAATTTCAAAAGATCTCACGCTCCTGGTAAGTTTTATTGACACTTTTCAACTAAGCGTACAATTGGTATAATGGAATAATTTCGATTTGGATCATTCTCCAGACATTTGGAGTGTGGGTATGACAATACTTGAGATGCTTTTGGGAAAGAACATTTGGTTTCTATCATATCCTCCGAACTTAACAACAGAATATCAGTACGTGGAGTTCATGATCAATAACGTGCATTTGATATATGACAACATTCCTTCCTTCATTTCGGCAGAGTTGCGCGATTTGATTTTACATTGTCTTGATTTGTAAGTAGGTTAAAGGTTAAAATGGAAAACTAACTTGCAAACCAACAAAGAAATCCTGAAAAAAGGCCCAAAGCTAGCGAGCTGTTGTCACATTCATTCTTCTCTATTGACTTCTCCGAGAGTATCAAGAACGACATGTGTGACATTTACAAACAAATTGATTCCATTAGAGAGGAATATCATCGATTACATCTTGCCAAGCTCCCAACCTATAAATCCCTCACTAAGGATGCACCTGACTCGTTGAACTCCATGTCTCTCTCAAAGTCTTTCTTTGAATAAATCTCAAATTATTTATAATGGTCCGAACGCGCCATCTATCACCCGCAACCATAAAAAATGTCTGACAATCAAGGAGGCGTACCACCACAAGGAACACAAGAACTAACCGTATTTGTGCAAAATTTACTTCATCAAATGGTAAGAAATCGAAACAAATCAAAGCTCGGATTGTATTCATCATACCCCTCATTGTATAATCATGACATACAAACCTGCGGATCATGTCATCAACAACTGCTGCAAATCATTCGGCATTAATTCTAATCAAAACAATAATTTCAATGATGAATAACAGCAAAAAAGATTCCAAGACATGTCTGACACAATTATAAAAAGGAGTATGTATTTCATAGATCAGTGATCATTTCAACCAGCATCCATAATTATTATTAATTGTACTGTAATGATTAGTTGATGAAATGGGAACCAGAATAGATGACTTAGAAAAGAGCATCGGAGAGTTAATGCAACAAGCAGGAAGTAAGTATGATTCCACAATTTAAACTGCAGAATAACATCTGAAATCCTATTACAGTTCCTGAAGAACAACTTAAAGATGATTCCAATTCAAATGAAAACAAGTAAATGATCAGTACTGTAACGTCAGTCACTCTAAATAAATAATATATATGGCGGCGCAATTGGTACTAGAAACCTGTCAGATATTCGTCAATCCCACGTCAGCTGATTTGAGTAAACTCCAAAGGAATCAAAAATAAAATGAGTGAGTCTCTTCCTGATTGGTTTGCAAGGGTTTGAAGAACCGAAGCAACTTGGGTTCTTACTGCAACAACAGACAAACTGAAACGAAATATAGAGGCCATAGGACGTTACACCATTATTCGCTTCAGCTGAAGCTTGTAAAACAACAGCGTGCCAACGAACAGCTCACGGAAGACAGATCCTTGCTAGCACCCTAAACCAGAACTATTACCAATTCTACTGCATGACATTCAACGAATAAATTTTTTTATGCTTTCATATTCATTTTTGACTTGACGAATATCTGACAGGTTTTTAGTGCGCTTCAACGTCGGATGCGCCGCCATAGTACATCAGATGTGTTTGAAGTAACACAATCTCGGAGAAGAATTTTCCTCTGCTCCGTTAATATCTTCAAAAAAATCGAATCATTGAAGAACCGAAAACGCACCTGGTGAATCATGCTTGCCGGCATCAACATCCGAAAATCAATTATCATCACCAAGGAATTTCATCAGCAATAACAAATTCAAAAGAATCACAATGACCACGAACACCAGTAACACAACGCACCATTCGTTTTCATATTCATTATTGATGAGTTTTTTATTATTTATTTCATATTGTAGTATAAATCAATTAAACGTTGTGGTTGATGCTCTTTCATTGAGTCCCAAGGCTCTTCCATCATTCATACCGATCGGATTCAAACCCTATCCAATCTCTGCCACTGCTTTTAAACCTTTATATTTTGAATTAGTCATTTCTCCGAATGATACGACCTATCAGGGTTTTTCAATTTCAATCATGTGTGATGGAGATGGTGGATGCACTCCAGCCATCACTACTTTGAACGTGAGTACAGACCCAGCCATGATTGCTGATGGAAACTCAATGTGGGGCTCTAATGGAACTTCTGCATATCCTGGTTTGACAATTACATCATTTTCAACTCCTCCTTTCAAACAAGGAGTGAATTATTATATTGCATATTCGAGTTCTATTGATATACCCCATGCAAGCATTGTCTGTCAAGGGTTTAAATCCAATAAGGTATTGGTGAGTCCAAAAGAGAAGTTGCACGTTGAAAAGATTTCTCAACACAAAATTTTAGTGAAATCGTCAATATCACAGGTCTCTAGTAATGAAAGATTGGTCATGACTACCAAATATTCAGTCATGGTACCGCTTGCTCATAGTACAGGTGTTTCAGAAAATCAAGAGCTTGTGTCAACAATTAGATCGCAACAGAAGGGATTTGATTTATTCAAGAAAGGATTTACTTTTGCCAGAGCTGGAAATTTTGATTTCCATAGAAAAATTATTCATCCAAATTACTATTATTCAGCAACTTTAAAAAAGTATCAATACAGAGCATGTAAAGAATATATATACAAGATTTACAGATATGATTCTGCGCTAAACAACAAATTGTTTCCTACCTCAACACATCAAGCAACTGATACATTAAGGCAATTCTTTGAGGAACATGTTCACCAAATGTCCCTAATTTTTTCAAGCTTGGCAGAAAATAGCAAAAACTCATTCTGTAACCACATTGATGACATGCCTTTTGGAGTAGCAGATTTTACTGTCAGCAATGAATTTTCTGATAACACGCCCATTGCGTTGATAATGGTAGTTTCATCCAGAGAGAATGATCAAATCGAATATGTGCATTATCCAGTATTAGTGCATCTGACTGAGGACAGAACATTTCTTTCTAGAGTAAGCAACTACGTTTCTAACGTACTGTCCACAGTGTTTAACCCCAAACGTTGGATCAGAGATTTATAGAGTGAGTGTAGTGCCATTCTATTGATGAACTTGTGTCATCTGCAATTTCACTCCTCTTTGTTCACCACGACTTGATACTCCTTTGTGTCTATGTTGAATATTAATACATAATTAATTTTAAATAATAAATTACTGTATTTTACATTTGTTGAGAAGGTTGAGATTGTTCGCTGTTGTTTTGCTTCTCCAAATAAATCAAATAATTTGCTTGTGTCTTTTCTATCCGATCAAAATCAAAAAATAAATAACTATTTTGCAAATCTGATGTGAGTCGGAGAAGATTTTGGCATGCATCAGCCATGGATGCTGCAGTTACAGATAGTTGTAATTCATCCTTTTCGTTTTGAGTTTTGTTAACATATTTCGTTGAAATTGGATTGGGGTCCATCACTCGGGAAGCATCAACCAGTTGCTCCATCAACAATCCCAATCTATTGATTTCTCTATCCAAAATCTCATACCTCATATCTGTAATGGCTAATTGTTCCTTTCCGAGATTTGCCAAAGGTGATATTCCTTGCCCAGGTTTTGGTTGATTTGCGGCAGCTGGTCTTGGTTGATTCATTTTTTGGTTTCGAAAAATGAATAGGGATTGATGTTGCCATGAACAATGTTGTTGTATTTAAAGTACAAATTAATCACACCAATATAGAGTAGTAGTAATACAAGATGTTAACTGTTGTTGTTACATGTAAATTGTTCACGCACGCAGTTACCAAATCATCATTTAAAATTTGTATGGACGCTTCAAACCAGGAACAAAGGTAATGACAGACTTGTTTTCAGTGTATTCATGCAATGCAGCTTCACCCAAGTCACGACCAATACCACTTTGTTTGTAACCACCAAATGGCACGTTTTGGAAGAAAGCATTCCAGCAATTCACCCAAACAGTTCCTGCCTTCAATCCACTGGCAACACGGATTGCCTTGTTCAAATCATTAGTCAAAACACCAGCTGCTAAACCATATTCAGAGCTGTTTGCTCTCTTAATAGCCTCTTCAACTTCGTCATCATTGTAACGAATAACGCTCATGACTGGGCCAAAGATTTCTTCCTGTGCAATCTTGTGAGTATCTTCGACATCAGCAAACACTGTTGGCTTAATAAAGTAACCTCTGTTTCCGAGTCTCTCACCACCAGTGACAAGTCTAGTGTGCTTCTTACCATAATCAATGTAGCTCATAATCTTGTTGAATTGTTCCTCACTGACTTGTGGACCTTGCTCAGTCTTCGTATCAAATGGATCACCAACAATTCTCTTTTCAGCCTTTTCCTTTGAAATCTTTAAGAAATCTTCATAAATGCTTGAAGCAACATAGACACGAGAGCTGCAGGTGCATACTTGTCCTTGGTTAAAGAATGTACCAAAGTTTGCAACATCAACAATTTTGTTGAGAGACTCACGATCCTTGACATCTCCCAAAACAATCAATGGAGATTTACCACCGAGTTCCAAAGTGACTCGCTTCAAGTTGCTTTCAGCGGAAGCTGTAACCAAGACATCACACTTAGATTCAAAAGCTTGCAGAAAGAAAAAGTGGGAACATACCTTTTTGAATCTTTTTACCAACTTCAGTGCTACCAGTGAAGGAAACTTTGTCAACATCGTTGTGACTAGTCATTTGGATACAATCACAAAGAATAAGGAATGATTAAGGAATTATCACATATGAAAAACTTACTATACCAAAGCAGCACCAGCAGTTTCACCAAATCCACTGAGAACCTGAATGACACCATCTGGGAAACCTGCTTCCTTGGCCAAAGATGCTACATACAGGGCAGACAATGGAGTTTGCTCGGCTGTTTTCAAAATACTAACGTTACCCTATAGTGTCAAATGTGAATTACAAAAAATCGTTTGCACCAAGTATGTGTGTAAACTTACAGTTGCAAGACAAGGAGTCCACTTCCAAGTGGCCATCAACAATGGGAAGTTCCATGGGACAATCTGAGCACAAACTCCAATAGGCTCTCTTTGAGTGTAACAAAAGTAATCACCCTCCAATGGAATAGTGTCTCCATTGATCTTGTCAGCCCAACCAGCAAAGTATCTAATGGTGGAAATGGTCATGGCAACGTCGGCATTTCTAGCCATTTCACGTGGCTTACCATTGTCCAAAGACTCAAGATCAGCAATGTAGTCAGCATCTCTCTCAATTAAATCGGCCCATCGGTTCATCAATCGACTTCGTTGATGAGGAGAGTAATTTCTCCAAACATTTTCAAATGTGGAACGGGCAATCTTGACAGCTTCATCAACATCAGCCTTGGTAGCTTCACTCACTTGACAAATTTCTTCCTCGGTGGCTGGGTTGATCACAGAGAATTTCTTTCCCTCTCTTCCTTCAACGAATTGACCTCCAATGAAGAGCTTGGTGTATTTAATGTCGACCTTGTTCTTCTTGTTGGCTACTGTTGAGGTGGAGAAGAGACGACGAGAAGCAGAATTGGTGGTGGATGGAGCAATGCTGCCAGTATTGCGAAGGATTTGAGTGGAGAGTTTCTTCATCTTGGTAATACTAGAGTATTTGGATTGAAAACGAGATTACCAAAATCGATTCGTGATGGAATGAGATACGTGTCAGAATACAAGAATCCGAAAATGCTCGTGATCAATCATGCTTTGATCTGGAAGACCATATTACTTACACAGACGGTAGAATGCTGTGGATTTTTTTTGTTGGTGAGATGAGAGGTGTTGTAAACTCAAGAGCCTTTTTGCTCGTTGTCGTTCTTTAACGGGTAATTTTGAAGAAAACATGTTCCCTTCTATCTTTTGAAAGAACGATGCAAGTGTTGCAAACTTTATGAAAATCATTGATTTTTTATCCAGAAACTTGTGCTAGTCCTGATTGAACTCAATCTTGTGTTGCTCATTCGGATTCACGCTCAACATTTTACTGCACCGTTCCAACTCGAAATTACCTCCTCAAATTACCATCGATCACTACATCAGTGATCGTAATTGATCTCGTTGTTGTTGTTGTTGGTCGACGAGGCCTCAAGCTTTGTGCTTCCTCATTCAAATTGAAAAAACACTGCATCTCGCAAATTCATCATTTTCGGCAATTTGCGCTCTCATCTATTTTTAACAACAAAAAATTTTGCTGTTTTAGTCTTCACCTTCATCAACAACCACAACAACATCAACAACATCCAATCACCACCTCCCAAATCATCACCAACAACAAGAAATACAATAACAATAATCGGTTAATATCAGGATCATAGTTTTCCATTGTTGGAGTAGTAGTGAATTCTGGTATTGAATTATTTTTATATCCCCGTAGTAGTCCTGGTTCTGAAATCCGTTATCGCCATCATTAGCACTATTCAGTGTACTTGATTGGAGTAGCTTTCACGACACGTTGATACACTAGTCATCACCATCATCATAATTAACAACATTTAATTCTTCTTCTTTTTTTTCATCATCACCTCATATGCTTGTATTACATTCTAGAGACCAATTCTAAACTTTGTTTTTTCTTTTTCATTTCATTCTTACTTTATATACTTCTTTTAGATATTATAATATGATATGGGTTGCAAGATTATTAGGATCGTTTTGGAATAGCTACAATGACAATCAATTACAGAGGTTTTTTCACGCCTCTGTAATCATCAACAAACAGCAAATGTACATTTATGGAGGAGTGGACAAAGTGGAAGGTCAACAAGTTACTAACTCCTTCGTAGTTTATGATTTAGAATCAGGCGAATATCACTGTTTAAACGATGTTATTAAGATTCTTAGAAAGAAAAAGGTTACTAAAACACATTCAACAACAACACCATCACTTATCAAACGTGCAAACAAGCACGAAAAGCTAATTAGAAATGATTATGAGGTTTTCGAAAATGCAAAATTACCGAAACTTTTTCAACACACTATGGTAGCCCTCTCCAAATCTGTTTTATATATTTATGGAGGTCAATTAGAAAAGGGCACCCCAAGCAATGCTCTTTATCAGTTCAATATCGAAAGCATGGAATGGGTGAAAGTGAAGTGTACGGCTCGCCATTCTACTGAACCCAATTTACCAGCCTTATTTGGGTAAGTGTTGATCATGCAATATTACTCATTTTCTACTAAAATTTACAAAATCATGTACAGACATACTGCCAACGTCGTTGATGGAACCAAGATTTATGTGTTTGGTGGTACTGATGGAACCAAATATTATAATGATCTTATTGTTATCGATACTGAAACAAATACTTGGGTCAGAGAAAAGACCAATGGTTCTAGACCTCAACCAAGATATGGCCATTCTTGCGTCCTTTACAACAACTCACTTTACGTTTTTGGAGGGGGAAACGATCAATCATTGTTTAACGACTTGTACAGTCTTGACCTTGACACCCTTACTTGGAAGAATATTAAGATTGAAGGAACGACTGATTCTGCCAAACGAGTTCATCACACTGCCAATGTCATTGCCAACAAGATGATTGTCTTTGGTGGATTAGTGAGCTCTCATTCTCATTCAAAGGATCTCATGGTACTGGACTTGGAACACTTTAGATGGGATGTTGAACATCCACATGTTGATAGAAATTCTTCTTCCCCTCCCTCACTTTGTGGGCACACCACCCAATTAGCTGGAACAAAGTTATGGATTGTTGGTGGAAAATATAATAATGATCAAGACAACTCAGAAATGTCCACTAACGTCTATACTTTGGAAACTGGTATTCGAGGTATTGAACCTATAGACTGTGGAAGATCCACACTAACGACTGACTTGAGCTCTTTGATTGACAATGAAGAGTTCTCTGACACTATTTTAGAGTATAACGGACAATTCTACCATGCTCACAAACCAATTATCTACGCACGGTCTCCCCTATTATACAGGGAATGCATAAAAGGAGTGGCAAATGATATAGTTAATGTTGGAGATGCAGCTGATGCTCTCATGAAAAAGAAAAAAGCTAAAACTGACGAATTCCAGTCTCTGAAGCAAAAAGATGAAAAGGTTAAAAGTGTTGGATTCCATGGATTTTTGGAGTATCTTTACACTGATAGAGTTGGCTTTCTGGATGGAGAAGAAGTTCCAGATGTCGATATTAAGAACTGTATTTTTGAACTGGTGTTTCTGGCAGTTGCATTTTCTATTGACAGATTGTTTGCTCTATGTTCAAAACATCTGGATTCAACTATCACTTCTTCCATTCCGGCTCCAGCTTTGTATTCTGACATGAAGAGGCTGTTTGAGTCAACTGAAAAAAGTGTTCTGTTGGAGAAACAAGACACGGATCTATCTTCTCCGATGTATTCACCAGGCTCGAAAATTCATTTCGATTTTAGTCACTATTCTACTCCTTCTCACAATGAACCTGAATCCGAAGATGACGACGACTCTTATTCGATTAACTCTCCAATGTCTATATCAACTCAAGATGGCGGTAACATTTTCAGTACAATTCTCAGCAATACTACTTTGCAACAGGCTGATCATTCAATTTGTGATGTATTATTTGAGGTCGGTACAGAGAAGGAAAGAATTGCTTGTCACCGTTGTATTTTAATGTCCCGATCTAAATTCTTCAGACGAATGCTTGCATCAAAACCGAAGGATCAACTTACTTATGGAGTACAAAAGGTTGATTTATACGAATTGAGCGGCATTAGACCAGAAGTGTTCAAATTGGTGCTTCAATATCTTTATACTGGAAATGTGTCGGTCAATTTTGATATTTCCGTGGAGTTGTTAATTGCTGCTGAAATTTATCAAATAGAAAGATTGTCTTTGATTTGCCAAAGCGTCATCGAGAAAAAGATTCATCCAGGAAACGTTTCCACAATTCTTGGAATTGCTGATTCTTATGACGTTAAACATTTGAGAGAAACATGCACATATTTTATAGTGCACAACATGTCGAAGGTAAGAAAAACTGTGAATTACAAGAAGGAGCTGTCGTCAGATCTCAAACATGAGCTCAAAGAGCTCAGAAAGCAGTTTAGACAACAAGAGGGATCCAATTTTTACGAGCAATCAGAATATGCACTTCCATTCTCCAGCTACTATCATTCACAATTTGCTTCCTCTTCGTTCTCGAACAAGCAAAGAAAAAAAAGCAATCTCAAGCAAAAACAAGCGTCATCTAAAAACAAAATTCCAAGCACTCCAAATTCGGCTCCTCCAGCAACAAAATTGCAATCACCAGGAACATCAAGAAAAAAGATTAGGAAGAAATCATCTTCTTTGGTGGACATGGCAGACGATTTTCATGAAGAAGTGTCGTATTTAACAGAATCTCCTGCTGTGTTGCTTGGTGTCAGTCCTCCAACAACCTATGTTCCAATCACCGCTGAATATTCAACTACTTTGATCATTAGCGAAAGTCCAATTGGAATTTCCAAGAGGAGAAAACCAAAGAAGAAGAATGTTCTCCCGTATCATTGAAGTCATTAATCTTTTTTCTTGTAAATATTAAATAAACACGCCACAAATTTCGTTCGTCCATTCATAGTGCATCAAAAGTTTAACAACTTATTTGAAGAAATTTATTGTTCTTCGACAAGACACTGTTTTTTGAATGCTTGTTCAATGAGGTGAGAAGCGTATTTATGGCCCGTCTCGTTGACAAGTTTGGTAAATTGGGATTGGGGGTTTTCAAGTAGTTCCGTTGGTTTACCATACTCAATAATTTCACCGTTTCTCATTACAGCAATGGCATCAGAATCAATAATAGTGTCCAGTCTATGTGCAACTGTAATGATCGTTGAATCTTTAAACTCTTCACGAATAATTTTTTGTACTAGGGCATCACTTTTGTGATCCACAAATGCAGCTATGAGAAAATTATGCGTCCATGGTTTATATTAAGAAATTAAAATCTGCGCCAATTATTCGAACACTTACTACTTTCATCAAAAATAATAATTTTTGCTTTTCGAAGAATGCACCGACAGAGTGAAAGTAATTGTCGCTCACCAATTGAAAAGTTGCTACCATTCTCTGAAACAATTTCGTTCAATTGCAAACTAAATTGGCTGACTTTTGATTTCAGTTGGACTCTTTCCAAAGCATTCCAAATCTCATAATCCTCAAACTCATTGAAAATATCAAGATTATATCTCAAAGTACCTGAAAATAGAACTGGTTGTTGAGGAATAATTAAGAGTGATTTTCGTAGAGTCTTTAATCCAATCTGTGAAATATTCAAACCGTCCACAGTGATACTTCCCTGGAATGGCTCAATAAATCTAAACAAGGTAATTAAAAGACTACTTTTTCCAGATCCTAATGAATGGTTGTTGGGACACATATAGTTACAACACAAAGGGTGATTAAAAAACAGAGTTTCATACTACTTACCCGTTCTATATTTTCATCAATTCAAAAAAAAACATATTCCCACCTCCATTAAGTTTCCTTTCACACACACACACTTGTACTTACCTTCCAACTAGTCCTAATTTTGTTCCTGGCTGAATGTCCAACGAAATTGATTTCAATACTGGATCTAAATCATCTCTATATTTCACAGACATGTTTTCAATCTTCACATGACCTTGCGTGGGCCATTGTGTTGGAATTGGATCATTCTCCAACTCTGTAGGTGCTTCTCTATCAATTCCGTGACAATAATGAAGAATTCTTTCAACGCTGGTCATAGAGCTCTCTAAATCTACAAATAATCGAACCATTTGTGTGAAGTGTTCAGTAAGTTGTAAAGAATAAGTGATCGAGAGTGCAAGAAATGCAGGACTCACATATGGAGTGACATGTCTTGCTAGAATAGAAAATGCAGCAGTTGAGAAAATGACTACTTGAGCCACCACTTGAATTCTGACTCCAAGCCATCGGTTAATTAAATATCTATAGTGTGAATGTTTGGCTGTAAAGTCAATTTTCATAAAATTTTCCTCAAATATTTGCTCATGAATTAAAAGTGCCTTAATAGTATTAATTCCATTCAGACAGGATGAAAAATGAGAAAGCACAGGACTTTTTGAAATAGATTCCAACCTTCTGATATCACGAGAAGCTGTTCTATAATACGCTTGAATAATATAAAAAGCAACTGCTACTGGAAACGCAACCAATAGAAATAAAGGTGTCACAATAGCAATCAATACAAGTGTGAGAACAATGTTCAAGAACGTGTTGATACCATTCGCCAATGTGAATAACATTTCACTATCTGTAGCGTTGAGATCTTGTGTGAAACGGTTCAGTATTCTACCCACTGGATTTTGATCAAAAAATAAAATTGGAGCTCTCAACACTCCATTTAACATCTTTTCATGAATTCGATTTGAGCTCTTAAGAGCAGCAAATGCAAAACTTGATCCTCGCACAGTGATGATTAAGGCATCAATAATTCCAAGTAAAAAGTAAATCCACACGTAGGAAGCAATACTAATATTGAAAGTATTCATATTCATCAGAGAAATCCATAAACTTGAGGCAAGCTTAGATCCAATAGCAAGCAGAGAGGTTGTCACACAAATGATAAAGACAATTAGACCAAATTCTTTGAGGTAGTTAAAAACAACTTTCCAACTAATGTCTCCAGAATGTTTCTCTTCGATTGATACTAATTTACCTTTTGAAGACGAAGTACTGGGAGATTCATTTTGTGACGAAGGAAGACTCTTATTTTCTCGTCCATTCTTTGTTACGTATGATTCTGTTTTCAAATTTGTTTCCACACTCGTCAAGTCATTCGTCTGTGCCATTGGATGATCTGTTTTTGACTCCTCATCATTTTCTCTAATTAACTTTGAAAAGTCATAGGCGTGCATTATAGCTGAGAGATGTCCCTGTGCGACCACTGTTCCCTTATCGAGAACAATGACTTCATCGGCCATTTCCAATAGCTGTAGGGAGTGTGTGATTAAAATTCGAGTTCGATCTTTCAAATAATCCTGAATGCATTCCTTGAATATTTTCTTACATAAACGAGCATCCACAGAGTTGAGAGATGAATCCATGAGAATAATGTCAGCATTGGAATAACAGGCACGTGCCAAACTTATTCTATGCTTTTGTCCAAGTGAAAGATTAATTCCAGAATAACCAATTTCAGACATGTCATAGTTTTGGAACTCTTCAAGGTCATCTCTTAATTGACATACGTCAAGAATTTGTTGATACCGTTCATGGTCAAATGGAAGACTCTTATCGAAAATGATATTGTCTCGAACGGATCCGTTAATCATCCATGGATTTTCATCACTAAGAGCTATTTTAGAACTTGGATGAACATGTAGAGAACCCTCCTTGATGATAGTATCTCCATAAATGGTTGAAAATAAGCTTGATTTTCCAACTCCAGTATGCCCAATGATACAATATAATTTACCCTTTTTGAGAGTAAGATTGATGTTTTTAAGAACTGCATCTGACTCGTCGTTCCATGTGATTGTTGCTTTTTTGAATTGAATGGCAATGTTGTCATCAGTCAATGTATCGCCATCTTCCTTAGAGGATTGATGATGACTTGGCAATTGTGCTATATTGGCATGATCGTGAGGAAGGTGAGACAACTCGTCGGCATATAAAAAGTCTCCAATTCTTTTGGCACTCACATATGAGCTTACTGCTAAAGACAAAAATGTGGGATAGTGAAAGAGTGGATTTCTAATGTTCTCAAAAAGCACCAAACCTGTGAACATGGAAGAGATAGTTAGTTCTCCTCCGAAATAATGATAGCATATAAATGTCACGCTGCTTCCTGCAATAGAGACAAACACAGAGACAAATTGTTGAAGATTTCTAACAATTGCTCCTTTTTGAAGACCATTATATTCCTTACTTCTTGATTCATGCACTTTTTCTTTCATTCCATCTTCCATTGCAAAGAATTTAACAATTCGAATACCGTTCAAAATTTCGCTCATTGTTTTCACTCGATCGTCCCTAAAGGAGGAGACTGCTGTTTCAATTTTTGATAACCACCTTGCTAGCAGAGCTAAGAGAGGACTCATTGCTAACATGGCAACAATACCAACTAGTGAGCTATATCCAAAAAACAAAAAGACTAAAATCATTCCCAACAACACTGCAAGAGGAATGATCCATAGTTCGTGCATGTCGATGGCCATTCCACTCAATCGATTCGAGTCTGTTGTGAATAAATTGGTTACTTCACCACTTTGAAATTTGCTTCTATTTGTAGGAGTAATTCTTGTGAGTTTTTGAAAAATAGATGCTTGCAGCGATCCTCTTACTGCTAGCCACAATTTACAATTTGCATAATAATAATGCTGTAAGCAAATCAGAGAAATAATATTAAGGATTATTAGTAAAACTAGCAATAAAAATTGAAAGTAAATATTACTGAGAGGAAGTTGTGCAATAATCCAATAGGTATTACTTGTCTCATTTTGTTGTGAGGTGAAATTTTGTGAATTACTTTGTATAGAATAGAATTGAGATTGCAGTGAAATTGAGTATAGATCTGGCACAGAATGAAACCCATTCAAGGACGTCCTATTACTTTCAACACTGTCATCCATCTTATTTTCTCCATTTTGTACATATTGTGTTCGAATTGATTCCAATAGAACATAAAAAATTAATGGACACAAATAGCTCGCAAAAACAGAAACCAATCTCCACAATGCGTTCACATAAAAGCCCTTCCATCGAAATACTCTTTCTAATAGTAATATCAGTAAAGTTCCATGACTTCTTCGAATACTTCCATCTTTGGAATAATATTTTCGTTCATGCTCAAAACTCGTTTTGAAAGAATGATTAAATTTTTCAAATTGATTCTTGCATTTCAATTCTGCGCCTAATTTAGGAATATCCGAGTGAGACATTCCATTAAATTGACTAGCATCGTTACTGTCTTCCTCAATATTTACATAATTTCGTATTCGTAGCAATTGCAAAATTCTTTCAAGCCAATTCGAAAACATAAACTTTCCTCCAGCTTTTTTAAATCCGACATGAATCAGTGGACTCACAAAAGAAAATAATAGCCATGAAAGCAAGGAACTGTTGGCCTCATAATCAGAGGGAGATGAAACATCAACTCCGTCTTTGAAATTATCTTGCTCTCCGCTACTAGTAGGAGCCGCTTCTGCTGCATGATCCTGGTGAGTGTAAAGTTGTTCGTCGTTGATGATGAGTGCTTGTTCTTCAATGTCGTGAGGTTGCTCGTCTTCTTCATTCGTTTCGTTCATGATGGATGTTGTCAACGAGAATAATCAACAAAAATCGAAATGTGTGTTTTTTTTAATTTGCTCAAACTCCGAACGTTCCCGCAATTCTTTTATGCACTTTGCGACTATTCGTTGTGTCGAAAATGACTTTTTTAAACAAATAACCAAACACGAGGTTTCATGAATAGGGCTTCCATGTTTTTACAATCCAGACTGGCAGATGAATTACAAAATATGTTGTGCTTTCACAATGCGAGGTCAATCCCAAGGCCTCCCTCATTTTCGTCCTGAAGTCTCCCAACAACTCTTGGTATTTCTCTTTTCCATGCTGTTCCATAAATAAATGTAATGAACTCCATGTACTAATGAAACCAATATATTGATCTAAAGTAACCTTGCTCGTTATTGTATACGTTATATATTCCTTATTTTGCGGATAAGGAATATGAGGAATGTGCTTGTATTCTGTGTCAATGTGATATCTTCGGCTCGTCCAACAATCTTTCAAAAGATCTGAATGATAAAATTCAAGGAGAGTTTTTTGTGCTTGTTCATTCTCGAATGTGTGAAGACCATAACACCATGAAACAAGTAATCCACCTTTCTTTAGCACTTTGTCAACGCTTTTAAAGAACTTTTCAAAGTCAAACCAATGTAAGCTTGCACTTGAGACAATAAGGTCAAATGTTTCCAAAGTGTCACTCGTTTCCTTTTTTATACTACACGATACTAGTTCCTTGTCACTATTATTTGTTGGTTCATAATTTCCACTGATGTATTTTCTAGCTAGGGCTTCCAAATTTTCCGCAACACCAATCTCAAAATCTACATTGGTCATGGTTTGATAATTGTCTCTCAATTGTTGTCGAGCCAAAGATATTTGGTTCAGTGATGTGTCGACACCAATAACGTGTTTGCAATATGGTGCCAAATCAAAAGTTACCTGTCCACTACCACAGCCAACATCTATGGCGATCCAACTTTTCACAGAGTTCAAGAGCAGTTGTTTTGGTGACATTAAGGACGATTGAGAATTTTCAACATGTTCCCCACATGTATGCATAGACAATAATTTCCTTGTAAAGACATGCTCTTCATACATGTTCTTTGGAAATGTTGGTCTATACTCAGAGTACCTTATTGTATGATCCTTGTCTTCAAAGAGGGAGAATTGACACTGCTCTGGAGTCACTGTGGTTTTCTCTGTGCATGCTGTTGAACGGGTTTTGTTTTGCGTTGAGATTGGCGTTGTTGATGAAGTGGAACGTGCAGGCAGCAACATGTTTTTGTGTTGTTTTCTTGTTGAGTCATGAATTTCATGTTGCCCATCGACTACTTGAGATATATCTTTCAATGGTAAGGCTCTCTGTTGCATCTCTTCATCAACAGGACGCTCCATTTCAGCACATGTTGTTGTTGGTTGGGGTGGAGCAGAGTAGTCTTTCAACCTTGTTCTTGGCGGGCAAAATTGTGATGTTGCATTCGAGAGAACATGCATGGAGCGAAGAGATTGAATTTTTTTGTGGAATGCTCAGTTTCATGCGGTACTATTGTATAATCAAGGAAAGGGAGGATGCCAAATACAGACCGTTTGTTCCACAACAAGAACCCAGTGTTCGTATCGCATCCGGGATGGATTGGAGAACAAACCACTTATTCTTTATACAAAAGACTACTATTCACCACGTCGAGGCACTTGTTGCTACTGGAAATGATACTTTTCGATAGTGATGTCGAGGACGAAGCCAACACTGCCACTTGCTTGGCTTCTTTGTGTTTCCAGTCTGGTCGTTGAGCCACAGACAAGTCTTGTCGAATTTGTTTCTGTCGTTTCTTGAATGAGGTTTTCAAAGAGCTATGAAAATCAATTCCTGTAGCTCCCATTGACAAGTCTAAAAGGGAAAGCCATTTGTGAATGTGTGGGAGCAACCTGTATCTGTCACCTAATAGCTCAATTGTAGTTTTACATTTGTTGAGCTCGGAAAGAGAAATAGTAGCCTCAGAAGAGTGTTCGTTTTCCTCAGATGTTTCCTCGGCGTCTGATGATTCGTCATTCTCTTCTTCATTGTCGCTATCATCGTCCTCATTTTCTCGTTTTCGTTTGGTGAGCACAGAATCAGCTTTGTACCTTGACTCTTCATCCTCGTCTCCAGTCGAAATGGATTGATATTTTGATCTTTCTGAATGTCTAATCTTGTCACGAGATGATTGTGAAGTTTGATGCTTAGATTTTCTTCCCATTAAATCTAGTAATGCTTGTAGCAGAGTTCCATAATCATAAGGACCGCTTGTGTTTTGATAAACTGTTGTTTTTCGAGTTGAATCAATCACTTGTTGGATCGCCTGTTGCACGTCCGAATCATTTTCAATTTCCCATACTGGCGCTTCTTCTGCAATGTTAAACAGTTCCGTACACTTTTCGAATAAATTATTAGCAAAATTAGAAAAATTTTTCAGTTCTTGTTTCTCTCGCTGTTTTCTTTCAAAAATGTTTTTGAATTGTTCAAACTGTGTATTGGTGGATTCTGAGGAATTCCCCAACGTTGAAGAATGTTGAGGTTGCTGAGGAATGGAAGTGAATTTTGGAACTTTCATTAGGGAGTATAAAATGTCTTCATAATGTAAAATGGTCTTGTCTAATTTTGCATAATGCTTGGATTGTCCTTGTGCAACTTGTTCTTGTATTTTCTTTACTACATCTCTGTATGCAGATGTGAGCAAATGATCGCTTGAGACTGTCAAAGTGTCTATTGATGTAGTATTTCCTGTTGTCAAATTGCCCATACATGTTTGTTGAATCAAGTGCTTACACCTTTCAGTAGCTTCTTCATCGTAAGATCGAAATTGTTTCAACTGCTCTCCATCTGATACTTGTTGTGATATGGAATGGGAATCATTCTTCCAATTTAACACTTTTTTAAAAAACATGTCATATTCCTGCTCGATAGGAATAAAGAGTTCGGAACCTGCAGTTTGTAATTCTTCATTTTCCAATAATTTTAAAGCAAGTGCTTCTTCTTCGGCGCTTGCACGTTCATCTTTTTCCTCACCACCATAAATATCATGATGGTTGTCATTGTTGAATTTTTGATAGCGACTACCTTCTCGGGAAGAAGAAGAATGGAATGAGCCTCGTCCACGACCTCGAAAACTACTTCCTCTTTGTTGAAAACTGCTCCCTCGACCTCGGCCACGACCTCTCCACTGGTTTGATCGATTGTTGCTGTATGTTTGATGTTTTGGAAAATTCAAGCTTTGTCCCGAGGCATTCGGTGATGACATTATGCTTGAATCATGAGCATGGCCAGTGTTTACGGAAGCCATGGCCAATGGTCGATTGGCTGCTGAAAGAAACGAAGAAATGCCACTCATTATTTTTTTTGAACTGTTGTTTTCGAAGGAAGCAGCAAAGGCAAATCATCGAGAAAATAAATGCATTAGCCAAAAAAACTTCAACGATGAAATGTGAACAAGACAACTGTGAAAATATGTACAACCAGTTGTCAAAAGTAAATTCCACACAAACTTTATGACACTTTGGAAAGCTTAATTGGGATTGATTGTAGTACGGTGGACAAAGTTCAGACGCTCACGAATTATGAAGACGTCGTCCTCATACTGTCATAATACGCACTCTCAATATTGGTTTTGGCATTACTTGAATGCTCATTTACACTCTCGTGACTAATAATTCACAACAACTTAATAAATGAACATCAACAACATTCGCATGATATTTTCACAAACCTTGCTTGTTCACATCATTCTATATCAAGCAATAAAGGAGGTGACATATAATGGTATACATACATATTCCAAATATGCCTCATAAATTTGGGTCGCCATTATATTATGGCATAGAAATTTTATGCCGTTGTAATCCGACATATTGTTCAGATTATTAAGGTAATGAGAGTTACTAAGGACGGAGAGTACTTTCTAATGAAAGCCTACATAATTTTCAGAAACAACTGTTCATTCAACCAAAACAAAATTGGCTGCTTGAGGTGTAAAGGATTGCAATGGAGTTCCTGAACGTGTAACATGTAGTGTGAAATTGTACTACTTGAAAAAAGCCAATGCGAGATTTGTGTTTTTGAAAGGAAACCATACGCATTCTGATCCACCCTCCCGTAAGATTTCTGAAGATAGAAACATGCTGATTGAAACGTTCCATGTAATCCTTGGTGTATTATATTTACTCCTTAACCAGTGTGAAAGAAATATCCTGTTTGCTTGAGGGACTTAAGACTCTTGTACCAGATTTGTAATCGAAACGGGTGGTGGAGTAATCAGAACATACGCTTATCCATGATTCGTCATCATCTCTTCCCTCTGACTTTCAATACCATCGAGTCTTTCTAAATTCATAGCGTAGCTACATGCAATGCAAATATGATGGTTGATGAATTTCAAAGAAGATGTTGCTTTTTTACACATTATCCTTGCCCAGTCGCATAATATCAATTCAAAGGAGAAGAGAGACGAAAGGAACAGAAGAAGGAAAAACTGTCATGAAGAAAGCCATCCACCAGAAGGACGAAATCAAGGAAACTCAAGGAGAATAGCTCTAAATTCTTGGACGACGTAAACCAACAGTCATGTGAGAAATGATGAACCATGATGAAAACAGAGATTTAGAATTCCGTGAAGAAGCTGAAAAGTCCTCACCCAATTAGAAGGGAAGTTATGTCAAGCAACGCAAGAGCAAGAGATCTTCGCCCTAACGAAAGCAAGGCGGTGATTCTTCATCCTTGAATGCTGTTTCAACTAATTCTGATCCAAGAAATGCTTCTTTTCCAATGCGGCAACCAATGGTATTACCTTCGTACAGCCGTCAAAATCATAAAGAAGAAAGTTGAAGGACGTTGAAAATGATGCTACTCAAGGTATTAGCTTATCTTGGAGTGCAAGACGAGGTAGATTTTCGTTGGACGGCTTGTTAAGTAAGTATAATCTTAAAATTTTTTTTTAAGCCTTAATAAAAAGTAACTTTTCACGGCAACCCTTGGATAGCTAAGGTATTCTACTAAATATTCAACAAAACAAAACCTAGTTTTCTATCAACAAGCGGCCATGGCCGAGAGGTTTAAGGCGTTAGACTCGAAATCTAATGGGGAAACCTGCGCAGGTTCGAATCCTGCTGACCGCGAGTAATTTTTTGTTGTTTATTGGGCTTGTCCATAAGATCCACCGTTACGCTCTGTATTCAGTATGCGTTGGGAGAGGATGCTTGAAGTAAAATTTCATTAATAGGACTAAAAACCTGTCAGATATTCGTCAAGTCAAATATGAATATGAAAGCATAAAAAAATTTATTCGTTGAATGTCATGCAGTAGAATTGGTGATAGTTCTGGTTTAGGGTGCTAGCAAGGATCTGTCTTCCGACATTTTGAAAGAGTGCATTGTTTTTATCGTTGGATGGCAATGAGGATGGATCATTCTTCTTGTGTGCTACAGGTTCCGTATTTTGATATTGGATGGGAACATGTGTGTAGAGTAAAGTCAATCGTTTGGGATCTTTTTGTGTTAAATTAAAATGTTTTCGATACATGGAGCGCTGACGAAGACAACATCCTTGTTTCAGTTGTTGCTGGTTCAACAATGAGAAACAACAAGATTTCATGGGTTCATGCATTTCCTGCCTTCCAGAATTCAATGAAAGAGAAATTTGATGAGGGTTTGACCTCAACTGCTGTCCGTAAACGTTTTATTGCACTCATGACGAACCCTGAGATGAAAAAACTCTATGACAATTACGAAAAAGGAGGTTTGTTAGCACAAAATCTCCTTACAGAGCAAGTTAAGAACAAATCAAAGCAGCTCAACAATTAAGAGTGGAAACTTTGTATGAAAAAGTGACATCAAAGATCTCGTACGAAACTACTTTAGCCTTGACTTCCGACAACGCTGACAACAAATATTTTCCTCAAGCTGTTGGAACCTTGGACTACTTTGCCATAAATGTTAGAAACCTTTCCATCTATTATCTCGATCATTGTGGTTGGTTAGACTCATCCTTCATTCAACAGAAACCACTGAACGCTCGTTTGTTGGCAATGGAAGGTATTGACACTGGACATATTGGAACCTTTATGCAGCAATACACAAGTGGTGGTTATGACTGTCCAAATCAACAATTTTTTGATTGGTTTAAGAAGATGTGTTTGGATAGAGTACAAAGCAGGATAAAGGACATCATACTTCCACAAGATACCGAATTTGTTGTACGAAATGATGAGTCGTTTCACTCCCTTACTCTAACTGAAATGTTGAAGGTCAGTGAAACACCCAGTATCATTGGTATTAAGGGTGAGGATTCTAAGTTTGTTGGAGAATTTAGTAAAATTCAAATAGAAGCGATGAAAACAACCGAATATGGAATTCTTGGAACCGAAAAAGGTACATTCAAAGGATTTTCCGAACATCAACACAAAAACTGCTGAATCTTTTGTGAAGAAAAATTAATTAGAAAAGAAGACACCAATCGCTATTATGTGATCAGTCGTCACAACAAACAAATTCGAAAAAGTCTCTAAGGATACCATGAACAAGGTGTGGGGAGAACAGGTTGATGAGAACCCTCTGTCAGCTTCCAAAAGCTCACTTCTATATTCAGCTCTTCTTCCTTTTGATTTAAAGACGAACGATGAGGAGAAACTACGACAACGACGGATTGCAGGTAATTTGGTTTAGGTAATGTGTTGCTTAATGTTCGCAATGAAAGCTGAGAAGAAACTACTTGAGCTAGTCAATCCAAAAACAAAATTGGAGAAAGAATTCATATTGAAACGTCAAGTTCTTGTTGGATAGTGGTCTGGATCGATGGAAGTCATTCGGGACCAAAATTCTTTTTGGGAAAGGATGAACAACAAATTTTCGACTGGGAGGGAGATACTGTGCTCAATTAACCTGGAACGGATTTTTGAGATCGGTTCTCCTTAATGAAATTGAATAAGGCCATTGGAATTGAGAGGGACCATTTATTTTTTAACATCCCCAACGTTATCGTGACACGAATGCTTCTAAGATTGTACTAGAGGGAAACATCGCTAGCAAATTTACCTCAACAAAACACTGTGTAGCGTCAACCATGTCCATCAACCAAACACCCTCCCATACCACCCAATGATGTTTCCTCTCCTTGTCATTCCTTATTTCCTTCACGCCTCGCTCACGACATTGGTGAACATCTCCTTCTTACTTCACACCAGTTGTTTAGAGCCGTCTCTAAATCCAACCTTGACGTACTTTGCCTGGAGCAAGCAGGTCCCAGCAGTGAACTTGTTAAGATGGTCAAAGGTATTCGACACTATGTTACCTTAATCAGGTCCGAAGGCGTCACTTTGTTTAAACCCTGATGGAAGACATTAGCTTCTTCAGGTACCTTTCACGTCGTTGCTCCTGGCTGAATTGCCGCTCCGGTTTGGCTTGAGTTTCTGAGCCAAAAATTTTCGAAAAATATCACCTAGTTCGCTATTGTTGTACATTGCTCATAATAACAACGAGAAAAGAAGAGACCATGGTGTAGTAAACTCAGTTTCCTACATCTTCATGTTTTTTGTTTTGAAAGTTTCATTCAAAAAGTTAAAAAGTACTTGTCGGAGAACCCTCCGAAAATTTTGTCTGGGCTGCAACGACGTGTTTAGGATCAGTGGACTCAACGTGGGATTCTCCAGGAATCAGTTGCGTAAAAGCCAACCTCTGATCAGCACCTCAGGTCTTGATTTCCTTGAACCACGGTAAGCTCTTGTTAAAACTTGAAACTGTTCTTTAGTTGTCTTTTACTCACCTTGTAGTTGTTGAGATGATCTGATTCTTTTGACACTAAAATTGGATCTAGAATTTGTTATCAATTGCCCATTTTCGCTGAAACTGGAGAAGTGGACACTGGAGAATTAAGTGTTCATGAGATAGAGGAACATTGCATTCTGGGCAGATATGTTGTTTGAAGCTCCGAACATGGCAGAAAATAAGGTTTCTCCATATAGAGTATTTGTGATGTGGTGTTTATTTTCCTTCAATGTAACGAAAAGTTAATTTGCCTTTGGTACTTGCGTTTTTTACCAGTTTGTCAACGAAGTTATTTCCTGACATTTATCATGTCCTTTTACCCATTCAATGGTAACTTTAAGTTTTTTGAATTGTATTGTTGCCTCAAATTCTCTTTTGAGTTGAATGAATTGTCCTCGATAGTTGTTGTTTGTGAAAATCTTCTGAGCAATTTGACTGAGCTAGATGAAGGGATCATCTTCAAAGAGGTGACTACTGCACATAATTCTGCCATGTTGTGGGTATATCTAGGATCCAATTTAGATCGATGCAAAAAATGTCGTCATCTCCTCCATTTCAACCCTTTTCGCCCCTATGTACCATTCAATACCTTTATAAATAAAGGGATTTGTGCTGGCAGAAGGTAATTTCGATGGATACTCATACCATCAAGCGTGCACAAACCAATTCGTCTACAAATTACCTTGTGTAGTACAACGTTACAAGGACGCGTTTTTCGATTTTTTCAAATGTTCACTTCGATTCGAATCCCGTGTTACGCTTGCTCACAAAGTATGACTTCTACTCTTTCAAACTATCAAGCTACTCTTCGTCGAAACACTCTCACCAAGCTGCTATTATTTTAAAACGAACTTCTCCATACCATCACCTTGCTTCAGCTAAATTTCATTGAAAATGATCCGAGTTGAATCACAGAAGCCACACAAAGAATGAAGCGGCTGGTTACGGATGAAACGGAAGATGCTCCTCTAATGAAATATATCCCTAAACCTTAATCGAGTTTTTGCAGGAACACAGTAAAAAAATTGCTTCCGTCTTCTCGAAACTTCAGCCAAACATTCCTCTCCAGCTCGGGTTCAAAAACCGTTTCTCTTCTATTCCTGGTTGCACTATTTATCATAGCGAGTTGGCTCGATCTAAGGTTATGGATGTCATATTCTTTAAACATACTAATGGAAGGATCAAAGGATGCTTCCACCACGGTATTATAGAATCATGTTGAGAAAGCTGAAAAGCCACGCAGTTTGAGAGGCACATTCGTATGGAAAGGTGCATGCAAAAGAAACGCTATCACCAATTTTTAATGTTCAACCACCATTGCCATAGAGAAGCCATCATATCCTTTGCATCCAACAGTTTGCATGGCAGTGGCAACCAATTTTTTGGCATGTTTGTTTCCCATATTTGCCATGAATTGGCGCACTCCTAAAACATTGGCATCTTGACTTTCACTATTTACAACTTGACCATTTCTAACAACATTATCCCCAATGATCACAGTTCCAACTCGAGACAGTTTTAAAGCATATTCTAGATAGCTTGGATTATTGGGCTTATCGGCATCAATGAATATTAAATCAAAAGGTTCAATAGTTTCTTGACCTGAGGTCATGGCATGTAAACTTTGTAATGCATTTCCTTCTCTCACTTGAATCAAATCAACAAGTTGTGCAAATTCAATATTTTCACGTGCTACTTTCACATGAAGAGGATTAGATTCAAGAGAAATGATTTGTCCAGGAATGTTTTGATTTGTATCGTGAAATATTTGTTGACGTCGAATCAAACCCCAAGCCAACCAAATCGTACTATTCTTTGTTAATGTTCATTCGTTCATGATTCACATGCATTCTAATACATACCTATAGGCACCCAAAGTACCAATTTCAAGAATTCTCTTGGAACGTGTCATCATGACAAGCATGGAAAGGAACTGTCCCTGATTCGGAGAGACTTGATGTGGAGGTAATCCATTCTTTTCACTGTTTTGTAATGCGTATTCGAGAGGATCGAATGGTTCCTTCTTCTCTTGGGATGATTGTGGAAGAGTCAAAAATAATGGATTTTGTTCATTGTTGTTACGAAGAGTGTGGATAAAGTACGAATCCACTTGACCCCAAAGTGTGTGTTGTGGGTTTTCATGAGACATTTTTTGCTTTGATGGAACGAGATTGGATCGTTTCTAATTATTTAAATTAAAAATGCTAAATTGGTCGAACAAGGACAACTCTCATGAAGCCTCTCTAGAACATTTGAAACAATATCCGAAAGAAGAATACAAGGAAATTAAAAGGATTGGAGCAATACATTCACAAAGATTGAGTAGGAAACATGTAGCTGTCATGTCTGTGATCATGTTTGCCCTAATTTTTATTTATTATTTCAAGACAAGAATACCTGCATCATCATCAGTTGAATTGGTCATTCAAGTTGATGAAAATAGCTTGCCAGTATCGTCTGGTGAATTTATTAATTTTTCTCGATTAAAACAAATATCCGATGACACTAAAAACATTCTATTGGCATTGATGACCGTTGAAAAATTACATGAATTATTGATGAGGAACGACAATATAGGGACTGACATGCCTACATATTGGGTCATGGCAAAGCAGTGGATTTGCAGACTGAAGAAACTAGGAATTACCAATTTTGTCTTATTTGTGTTTATTGATCCCAGTCAATTTAAAACATTGACCCAGAGACAAGATATTGAAAAATTAATTTATTCAAAGCTTTTAGACGTACCTATTAACACCATCTCTAACGAGCACAAGAGCATTATCACATTCACAACTGATGACATTTCTAAATTAATTCTCTCATATTCAAAAAACACAAAATTTCATGAAAAGTACGACCTACTTTACAAGAATTATTTAGACCAATTACAAAGACATGACAATATTATACCTCAAGAATTTTTCACAACTCATTGGGAATTTATCACGTTATTGAAACCAGTCATTGTTTGGAAATGTAATATTCTTGATTTCAACATATTTTTCTCGGATTTAGATGTTGTAATTTTTAACAATCCAACTCATTATGTGCATCAGTCAAAAGAAAGAAAGAATTTTGACGTCATTTTTCAAATGGAAAGTTGTGGAGACAACCAAGATGTTCGCCCTGAAAATGTCAAAATTAATACTGGTGTATATTTTGTTGCTTCCTCTCACAAAGCTCAACAATTTTTAGAATTTTGGATTGAGCCAATCGTATTTGACATTCTCTATTTCTTTGTTCCAACAGATGAAACCATCACAAATAAGCATCAACTTAGTCGAACAGAAACAACCAATGACCAAGCCATTTTAAATTCACTCATCACCAATGAAAGAAAATCACAGAAAACTTCCATCATTTCTCTGATTGGCTTTTTCCCTGTTCGACTCTTTCCCAATCGATGTCAATTTAGCTTCCTTGTCAATGAGCATCGGTCAGAAGAGAGCAAACCGCTCAAAGATTCACTCATTCTCTATCACATCAATGGAGTTTGGATGACACGTCAAAAGATTGCATTTTTGAAACAACAAGAAGGATTCTTATCACTTGATCATTCAACATTAAAATGTTTATAAGGCAAAATTAGAAAGCATCTATGTGGACACTCTCTATGAATCACAGTTAGTTCAAAAGTTCCTGAATGGTA